ATTAAAAGTAATCTCCCAACGCACCACACCGAGGCAGCGTACCCAAGATACTGGCAGCATTACCTCTTTGGATTGCCAAACTTATCTTTTGGGCAAAGTAGCTACCAGCTCTTGGGTCACCAGTAACCTCGATGAGGCGCGCTGCGATCGTCCGATAAAAATTCTTTGCATCTGAGCCCCACGGGCCCATCGTCTCTACAGCAAATGGCAGAAAACAATAAGACCCCTCCAGATGTGAGTATTTACGCCTCTTTATTGCTTCCGCTGTCACCGCCGCAGCACCCGAACAAGAGGACGATTTAGATAAATGGCTTGGAGCTAACGTGTCTACACATGTCGCATCCCACACCAAGCATTTCCCCATTTTCCAAGGAACCAAAGTTACGCCATCAGGTCGTTTCCCATCCTCACGGAAAATGCCATTTGGTTCCAAAATCGCTGGTATTTGTGTCATCGCAAGTGCCCTATGAATAATGTTATTGATCATGGCATGGCGAGATATTCGACCTGCACTTCTCACACAGGACAGACCATGGTATCCCAGCTCTTCAACTGAGGCTCCACAGCTACAACGATGGGGCTGAACTATTTTTACACCCAACCGCAAACCTATTAATAATGTAAAGGAGCAATCGTCGAGAAGCGTTCCAGTATTAGTTGACGGGAATGCCTGCAACCAATATCCCGATTCCCTTTCAGCTACTGCTTGAAGACGGGCACGAGTTTCAGCGGATTCACAATGGGTTACAAGGTTCTGCTGTGTTTTAATACAGAGTGGTTCATCCCACTGCCTTTGTGAGTGACATATATTAGGCATATCAGATGAAGGACATTGCAACTGCCAAGCATTCACAGCCTCGCCCACTCCCCAAATCTCTACGGAACCCGAACTAGGGTTAATGATTTTTCCGCAAAGAGGGTTTGAAGCATGGACTGACGCCAAAAATGCCGGAAGAGCAACAGATGAAACTTTTCTTACGCCTAATCCTCCATGACGCACTGGTAATGTGGCTTGATTCCAAGCATCATCAACCAACTGACAATTTAGAATTTTGATTAGAGTTTCCTTTAATATCATATCTAGTTTCATCAATTGTTCTGGAAACTTCCAAAGCATTGAACTTCTCATTGCATATGTAAATTTAGGTACAAATAGACACCACCTCATCACAAATAATGCCATGTGTGTATTTATATGAAACAAACGTTCAGAAGACCGGTGAAACTTTTCAATTTGCTCATCCACGTATGCTGGAATAAATTCGTTCATGAGAGGAACACCTAATAAATTAAAGGACTCGATGGCTACTATTTTAATTCCAGGAGCCAGAGAATCAAATCTAGCAATAATATCATGTTTGTCTGCCTCTGACATCGAACCTTTAATATAAAGTTCACATTTGTCAAAATTCAGTTGCAAACCTATTCCAGCTAGATCATTTATCAAAATTTCCAAATCCGATAAAACGACTGATGCGTTTCTCCCTAGCGAGCCATCATCCAAATACCAAATATTTAGAGGTGAAAGAAGTTTCTCGATTATAGAATTTATACCCAAACTAAAAATAACAGGACCCATTGGATCGCCCTGTTGACATCCTACAGAAGACTTTATGGGATGATTGTTATATACTAATATTGATGGCGAGCCATAACATTGTTTTAGAAACGGTAATACCTCTGGAACAATCCTTTCAACTTCCGCTAAAAAGGAACGTCTATCAATGGAATTAAAGGCATTCTTTACGTCTACCTTTAAAAATACCTCCCCATTGCCAGAATTAATGAAAGTTCTCGCTGCATGAACAGCTGCTTCACAACCTCCCTTAGTCCCGAAACCCAGCTGTTTAGGCTGGAATTGCTCCGTAAGCTTGGGTTTAATATTTTTGCAACATATTTTCGACACTAAGCGTCTCAAAGTTGTACCCACAGCTATAGGTCTAATGTCATCATTATTTTTCATTAAGGCGCACAAATTAGCACCATAAAATACTTCTTTTATGTCCTCCAAAATACCTCCTGATAACATGTGGTTAACCAGAGACACAAGGCTCTCCAACAAAGCTCTTCCAGAATCACCAGTCGTACTAGATATCAAATCTTTCAAATGTTGTGGAGATAACCCATCCAATCCACTTGCAGACCCATTACGAAAGCTCATAATAGCAACTTCAACATCTCTCGCAAGAATTTGTAGCCCAGGGTTTAATTCCTGGGATGGATTTGTTAGTTGTTCCTGAACAGATGCAGTTGGATGCTTGGTTATTAAGGCTTGCAATGTTTCATCATTAAACGGAGCAATGGTCTCATTGGAAAAAATCAGCTGCGCACCGCCTCTTACGTCACCGTCATTTATCTTGGTCTCAATACTCTTAATAATATCAAATTTTGGCCTAGTCCTTCTAATACTTTGATTGTATAGATTATATTGGTTTGAAGCAAAAACAATCTCATCAGAACAATTGTTTTTAATTTTCTGTGTAAGCGATATATCACTTTCCTTTTTGTTGTTTACATTGAGAACTTTGTAACTAAAAGTTAAAAGTTGTATCCAACTTAACATATCATTGTTAGAAACCACTTTATCAATGCATTTCCTCAATACTGTAGCCACCGATATCCTGGCCCCCCGTGGAATCCTTTTTATTACTGGAACGTTATTTTTGTTCTGACTCAAAATTTCCCATAGGGGTATGTTATAGTCTGAGTGATCGGAATTTACAGAAATTTCTGATGGATTTATATTGCCATCTACTAAAGGTGAAGATTGAGGTTTATGCACCTTTCCAATATGTATATTTAAACCCCTCTGTCCTCTAAAAAAACGTGGGTGTGCACAACTTGTGCATCGCTCATAACCATCAAATGACATTGTCCCCGCTGCGACATTATGGGAATCCGATACCTGACCTGAAGGGGTCGGCAGTGACATTGAAACCATTAGTCAAATAATGTCATTAAAAAAAAATAACAAATAAATTAATAAACAATTAATTAGACAAATCATAAAATATACAAACATTTCACTTATTCTATTTATAATAATGTCAACCTAATAATTCATACTCACATCTACATATACATATCGCTAGACAGTACAAATACATAAACAATATTCCATTAAAATCCAATTACATTAATAATTCATTATAAATTATTTATATCAGACAACAGCTATTACTATTATTATTAAACAATAAGGCAAAAAAAAAAGAGAAAAAAAAAACATATACAAAAAGTGAACTGTATTGGTAATCGAACTCGAGCCGCCGTCGTCATCGCCGTATTTTCAAATATGCTACATAAGTTACACCGTTAAGGAACTACCATTATGTGTGAATTCAGCTATAAGTATTATCATTCGTAATAGATCCGTTAACGATTTTAAATTACTGTTGGATGACGTGCACTTTTAATTTTCCGAATACCCACACCACAATAATTATAAAAACATATTGCAATAGTAACGTATAAAGTCAAATTAGTTTCATATATATACTTATATACACTTATATATACACTTACTAGTTATTGCACTTTTACTTTATATATTATAATTATCACTTCACTTCTGTGCTGAAGTTATTATCTGTATGTCTATGCCATCTCGCTACATGTATTTAACAAGTAAATTATAACACAACTTGCTTTTTCTTTCTCGAGTTTAATTTTTCACTCATTATATTATGTATATTATTAATACTGTTTAAGTGTCGATATATTTTTTCTTCTTACCACTTAACTGTCCGTAATAAATATTTCGTCAAGTATTTAAATATTTTGGATAAATAGTATTTCTTAACGAGATAACATACATATATACACTTATTCTTTAGTTTATAATCAAAATAATACTTGAAACAGGCGTATTTCATTATTCAATTCATTATTTAATATTACGCTGTACAAAGATGTGTTTACTCGGCAGTGATGCCAACTCAATCATTCATTCATTTTTATCATTCATCAGAATCATTTTTAAATTTTGACTATCCCAATATACTATAATTTGAATATACCACAGGGGTCAAACGAGCACGCAGCTACTACCGCCGCCCATAATCATCCGCAACATCATAAGCATTGCAGGTGTGATGCAGGCCTTTTTAAAGGATTATGCTCTTTCCTTGAAGGTTATGATGTTTTTGTAATTATTTCCTTTGCAATATGTAAAACTATTTTAAATTTAAAATCGATAGCATTAGTAGTTATTGAGATGTATGCTATGACAGATGGACGGATAAAGTCCGTAAGGGTTCCTATTTACGTTATGGGACGGAACTCTAACGGGAAGAAGCTCCAAAAGTTCTAGACCGGATTTTGATGGGGGGAAAGGGATTGTTAGTAGTGGAGTTTGACAGTCCTATTGCTAGCAATATGCCCTATTAGGTCGCGACCTCCACGTGGTGCCCCCTGGAAACCATTGTGAACAATTCTTGTTGAATTCGTCACGATGGGCTAACTGACCTGCTTCATCCTCACCTATCATCTCTCAGTGGTACCCCGCCAGCGTATACCGATAGCGCAGATGGGGTTACCATTCCATTACCACCCATTAAAAAAAAATTATAATTAATTTTGTAATCGATAGATACCCTGGTATTAATCCCGTACTCACTTTGTAACGCTTCAAGTGGATGATTTTACGGAGTAAATTCTCAAATTATTAAGAAATCATTACCACGACATAGTGACGCAACGTACTGCTATTTACTTTATAAACAGTATATTAATTAAGAGTCACGCGATTATTGTGGGCACTCTGCACGTAACAGCTTGTGTTGACGGCTTGACGATAATAAAAGCTATGTACTTGCATACAACCTGACCGCATACGACCTTAAATGTAATATGCATAGTATATATATACTTTACTGTACACACACAAACACATATATATACATACATTGATGTGGCTTATTTTATGCCGGGACCACACACACACACACACACACACACACTTAACATTAAGTAAGTTGTAATTAAACAAAACAACTCACCCGTTCTCGTCTTTGATCTTCTTCTTGCGGCCTCTCTTTTTGGGCTGATTGAGCATCATCTGTTGCGGGTGCATCATGTGCGGATGCTGCTCGTGGTGCTGCATGTGCGGCGGCATGCCGTGGTGCGGCGGCTGGCCCAGCATCGCGCACATCGCCTCCTCCTCCACGAACGAGTACGGGTCCTCGCACTCCCTCTTGATGCCGTTGTACATGTCGTCGTCCCTCTTTCCTGGCGGCCCGTACTGGTGTTGGTGGTGTGGGTGCTGGTGGTGCTGGTGCTGGTGGTGCTGGCTCATGTCATATGGCGCGTCCGGCTCACGCTTGAACGCGTACGGGTCGTTGTACTTCGGAAAGAAGTGCTGGTACTGCGGTTCCGGTTGGGGCTGGGGCGGTGCGGGCGGTTCGAAGTGGCGGTATGGCTCTGGCTCGTGGTCCGGGTAGTGGCGCAGCAGGGGCTCGTAGGGGGGGTCCGGGGGCGGGGAGGGTTCGGGCGGCGGCGCGGGCGACGCCTCCGTACTGGAGGGCTTGCGGCGCGCCGCCTCGCCGCTGTTGCTCGTCTCATAACCGTCGTCCTGACTCTCCGTCGGCTTCGGCTTGTCTTCGCCCTCCTCCCTGGAACACACACGAGCGACACATTACTAACAGTGTAACTTATTTACTTGTTGTATAAACAGGCGTTATAAAGGGAAAGTAACAGATGGGGTAGAACAGTAATGGGGTCGAACAACTCAACTACTCATCTATCAGGTTGACCTCCATGCGTTCACTCATGGAAAAACAAACAATTAATTCCTGGTGAATTCGAACGACGGGTCAACTGGCCTGACTTCATCCTCGCCTAACACCATCCACTCGGTATCCCTCAAGTCGTACAATAACGTATGCGGAGTTACAATCCCATTGTCAACCTATTATAAAACCATTAACGTCTCTACTGGTCATGAATCTCTCCTCGGTCCTAGAGGATCTTAATATCAGATAACTATTATTACGTTGGCCAGGCATCAATTTGGTACTTTGTTCACTTAGCTGTATTTTACGACATCGTGAGAATGAAAGAGACAATTCTACATTCTTCCTATCTTTTTAAATCCATCGAGAGATAATCCTCGACGTACATTTTTTTTTAATTGATGATAATGGAATGGTTATCCCACCTACGCTAACGGTATACACTGGCGGGGTGATAGGTGAGGTTGAAAAGGTAGGTCAGTTAGCCCATCTTGATGAATACATTAGGAATTCAGCACGATAGTTTCCTGGGGGGACCACGTGGAGCATATTACTAGCAATGGGACTGATAGTTCGCATCAGTAACAATCCCTTCCCCCCCTCCTCAGCGTACATTTTAGTCCGCCCATTGTGTGAGTGGAAATTTTATTTGCAGACAATGTTTCACACTTGCTATAAAAATGAAAATAATTGAAGTATCAATAATATGACGTCACCATATTACATGAGACGAAAAATAAAGCAAATAAATTTGGACAGTTTAACATTGGTGACGTGAAAGTTGCTTTCAAAATCGTTATCAAAGACCTCATTCAGAACTGTCAATGCAGACACATGGACACTGCTTTAATTGATTTTGATTGACTGCAATCAAAGTAGGCGACTGCCCCTGCATTCGATTGTATTTTTAAGCCACTTTTCTAAGAGAAGGAAATTCTCAATTAATCTATTTTTTTTTTAAGTTATATTTCGCGAATTTCATTGACAATTTTAATTATAATTTTTAATCTCACGTTGATCGTTATTCTTTGACACCTTTGTTAATTTCAATACAAGCAAGATTGATCGAGTGGATTCTATTGAAAATCCTCAAATCATAAATTGGATTTAAGGTTACCTATTAGTAATTCTCATAAAATAAAAGGAAAGGGAAGACCGAAAAATAACTACATGGGACAAATAAAGGAAAAACTAGGTGTCATGTCGTATAGGTTGGTCGAAGATATGGCCTGGGACAGAGCTGGCTGGAATAAAATGCATTAATTAGTTGGTCCGACAAGCAGAAACGTTTAAATAAGAAGAAAGTAATTCTTACTAACACTAGTTAGTAACAATAAGATTTTCTAAACTTAAACGTTCTCGAAATAATATAGATTAGGTAAACTAAATACCTATATTTTCGATATGAAAACAGTTTCGTGTTTAAAATTCTTATTAGTTGCTGTTTATGTTTACCATGTTATGTTTTGTAGTTGTTACAAACTGTTTTGGAAATATTATTTTCTGCTCACACCTGATTGGAGTTTTAGAATTATTATTTTTACGAATCATACGAAATTCATAGGCCTTTTTACGAATATATACACTGAACTATAAGGGAATTTACATTGCAAAATATAATAAAAATATATAATTATAAATAAATTAATGGTTTAATAGGAATTGAATAAATGTGAGGCGATACCATCTAAAGATGGGACGACCACCTTATAAAAGGAGATCCACAGAAGCAAAACGTTATACACTACAGTATATGCTTTTTAGCGATATGTAAAATAGATATAGGAGTAATAGGCAAGGTAAATAAATAGTTTCAAGTTAATTTAGGAATTTAGTTCAAAGTATAGTAAGGTCAATATGAATAAATAAAGTAAAAGCCATTAATAATAAAAATTAAAACAATAGACACATATGAGGGTACCGTGTGCATCAGAGTGTATTCATGTCTGTACTTATACCGTTGCCTGCGATCACCAATTTTCATTAAATTATCTACCTAATAGAAAGTAGTGTCTGTTGCCTTATCGCTTTATTCGCCATCCCATATTGTGTAAAAAAAAAAATGGCTAAAATGGATAGATCTTGTTTGTATTTCAAGTGTAACTAAATATTTTGGTTTGTATTCGGAGATCATGCAATGTCGATTTCACTGTTTGATACATACCATCACGCTATAACGCAACTCAGGTGAGTCCCCACGAGCGCGCAGACTAATAAAGCTATCTACCAACACCACGATTTGGTACGCAATCAATTGAGATGTAATCACAATAAATATCGTCGCGGACAGACAAGTAAATAATCGTGGCAAGTACCTTTAAATTATGCATGTTAAGTCCTAAGCATTTCATTTTTATGGGATATTAATGGTAATCCCGCCTGCGCTACCGGTATACGCTGGCGGATGCGGATGAAAAAGCAGGTGCGCTAGTCCATAGTGACGAATTCAACTATTTTATTTTATTTATTTATAAAAGACACACCAACAATATGCTCACAATAATTAAGCAGACAATATACAATGTTATTAGTAAGTAAAAGAGAAAAACTACTATTAAAAAATGCTTAAATCTAAGTTTGAACAAAAAAAATCTTATTCCTCACTATCAAGCTTAAGGCCATATGAACACATCAATTAAAGGTGTATACAGCTCTCAACTAAAATTAATCACGATGGTTTCCAGGGGGAACTGCGTGGAGATCAACCTCATAGGGTATATTGCTAGCAATGGGGCATATTATTGGGTATAATCTGGCAACAGATCTTTATGGGCCACTGTATGAATCTCTTTACACTATGCTAACATTACAAACTACCTGGTATATATTTTTATGAAGAACTAGTTTTATCCTGCTGCAATGCCAGCGTTAATTAGTATTATAAAATATCCCATGTGCTAAGTCAAGATACACCTTACGCGTGTACCATATATTATTCAAATCCGTTCACACATTTAATAGTGTTTGAGTAACAAATGTACAAACAGCTTTACAAAATTTCACATTTATAATATTAGTAGGTTGGGGGGAAAATTTGTTAGTAATAGGATCTAACAGCCCCATTGCTAGCAATATACCTTATCAGGTCGACCTTCACGCCCCCCACCCCACCCTGAAAACCATCGCGCTGAATCCCAGGTGTATTCATCACGATGTACTAACTAATCTATCTTTTCATTCTCACCTATCATCTGTCACTGGTACCCCCGCCAATATATACCGTTAGCGCGGGCGAGATAGCCATTTCATTAGAAATCAATAAAAAAATTGTAGTCTGTATTTGTAAAGATGTTTATATGTTTGTTATTCAAACACGCTTAAACAATTGAGCGGATTTGAATAAAATTTAAAACACAGGTTTCAGAAAATCATCGTTACTAGCAATTTAATTCTTCCTATGATAGCACTAAGGAAAATACAAAACTAACAAGTCTAAAAAAATGTTCAAATGTTAATTAGTTAAGTGGAAAAAAATAGATCGGTTGTATCGGTACGGGTCGTGAGTGAAGCCGTGACTCGCGTCGTCTTTAGACAGCCTTATTCAATTATCACAGTTATAAAACTATATTTACAATACATACAAGTAATATAAACACGAAATGTTTACAATTGTAAATATTGATAATCAAATCCATTCAAAACAGCTGATCGCCACGATATATCTGTTACTCGTATTAACATCCATATTATGCCACATGTAATAAACATAGCTAGGGTTGCCACCTGCCCACCAACTTATAATAACATCGTATTTATTAGAATCACTTTCTTGAGATAATTTACATATCACTAGCGACTGAGATATATTTCTCTCTCTTTCTCTCTTCGTCTACTTATATTATATTTAATATTGCTTATATTATAGTAGTGGAAGTGAATATCTAAATGTTTGGATGTTTGACCTAAATCCCTCTTAATGGGCCGGATAGATATCACTGAAATCGGGATGAAATGAATACATTCTGTGTTGAAATATGATACTTTTTATACTAAAACACGTGGGCAAAGTCACATAATACTAATCACATAATATAGTTTATAATAAATACTGGTAACATTTTGTATAATTTGGTAAAGCCTATAATATATAACGATTCTGTCCTGTATTTTCTTATTCCACCGAAAAAAAATTAAGTAGTACTTAATAAAATGGTTTAAAAGCTTAGTATTTAAATAGGTATTACAATTGTAAAACGATGAGACTATATAATAAATAAAATAAACTGTAACGTAATATTTTTTCGGCGGCCATTTTCCGAGCCTTATTACACAATATTTATTTTGTTAACACATAAATAACTGTTTATTCAAACAATGTAAATGACTACTATTTTTTTTTTTTACAAAAATAAATAAACATAATTTCTATTTCAATTACAAATCAAAATATCCATCGCAACTATAATATTTATTTCGGTTTGTTGCGCGCGCCAGCCCTGCGCATTCGACTACTTCCATTCATAAATGCTAAGTTGAATTATTGCCGACTATTCCATTTATATTTGTATCGACAAGTAAACAGCGTAGTAACAATTGTGGCGGCCGCGCTGTAATTGTCTTGCCGTTTCACCACGTACTCACTCGATTACACTGAGTTATGACCACGGCTTCACCTGTTACTGGTGATGACTATGATGAGTAAAGTATCGACGGCTGGATGAAACAAAAGATTTTTCAATTACACAATAATTATTAGAATAATTTATGATTTTGTTTTACGGTTCTGTAATAATGAGGTGACACTATTGTACTGTTGTATAAGTATCAAGGGTTTAATATCTAAGTGAATTAAAAAGTTTCGTATTTTTAAAAAGGAACAAGCATACGGCCCATCTGATGGTAAGCGGTTACCGTAGCCTATGAACGCCTGCAATACCAAT